ACATGGTGATTCAATGGACCCTGAATGTTGTTTTGCCACAGATTGTTTATGAGCTACCGACCACAGCTCAGTGGAGTTTTGACGTAGCCTGGTGTCCCAGGAACCCTGCAGTGGTGTGTACCTCATCATTTGATGGGCATGTCAGTGTGTTTTCTCTTATGGGAGGAGGTGCTTCTGGCCAAGATTTCCATCAACAAAAAGTAAGTGCCTTAGAGCTTCAATCAGAGCAAGTACAGTTGTTATGGGTTAAATGATGTTTATTGCATATATCCGTATCATGGCAGTATTTTGAACAACAAGTGGTTTTACCACATGATGTTATTGCATGTTCATTTAGGAGAACATGTACATGTGTATACATGTACAGAAAGACTAGAAAATGTTTTTTTTTAATATATTTGGTTTGAATTTTGACCTTCCCCTTACTCTCATTTTCTTGTTGATATTCATCAGTGCAAATTAGAGTTAACATTAACTGATTAATTTGATCTCTTTTTGTATAATAACTACCATCCTTCACTTGTTCTGAAATGGAGATTCTTTGAATGTATAAATTAAACTTGTCTTCTTTTTCTGCAGGTGATGAGTGCATTTGATGCGGACGACCCATTCACTTCTCAGATCCATCAAGCACAGCAGCAACAGCAGCAGCAGCAGCAACAACAGAGAGCAGCTAGTGCCCCCTTAAAGAAGCCTCCCAAGTGGCTGCGCAGGCCATGTGGAGCAAAATTTGCAGTAAGTTTGAATGACTAGGCATGCTGTCAGAAATTATGCGGAGTATCGTTATCATTTGTTGCTTCTGTTGTAATTAACGTGATGTAGCTTTGTTTTAATTATAAGCAATGTGATATGAGAAAGTGTTAAGTGACAGACAACGCGTGGGAATCTGATAGCCTTGAACTTTGGAACCTTTTAATTGAAACCCAAACCGAATGATTGACAGTGATAGGAGAGACAAGAGAACAGGGGAATAAATAGAAAGGGACTTTAGTAATCTTGAGCTTGAGAGAGAGATCTCCAGTGATCAATAAAGTAGAAGTCAGGATTTTGTGTGAGTGTGTTGGTGGTTCAATCTTGGAGGCAATTCCCAACAATGCATTAATAGCTCATGGAATATGTGTATGGTTAAGATGATTTCTGCAGAACATTTGAGCAATAATGGCAAAAATAAAGTTACCAAAAAAACCTGCGATAGACTAGCATCCCATCCAGGGGGAGTAGAAATACACCTAGTCGCTTCATGTTACTGAAACCGGGATAAGCTCCAGCCTGGTCAGCCACTTGGCTCACATGCAGACTTTACCTACCATTACGACAATGTGAAAGCTACAGTGTACATGTATACAGGATAACTTTTCAGAAAAGTTTCATGGTTGTTGTTTTTAAACTTTGAGCAATTTTTCTTATTTCCAGTTTGGTGGAAAGCTGATATCATTTGGACATACAAAGGAATCTCCAATCAGTCAGGTTTGTTCAAAGTTCTCTGTTGTCTATTGAGTACCAGGTTTGAACTTAACATTGGTTTAATTCTCCTGAGTGATAAATTGTAAAAATGTAGTGAGACAGTGGCAATATATATTATTGATTAATGTAGACAACTAAGTCGAGTTGTAAGGTAAGGCATGTTTTACACTGCTTTGATTTGACCTTGATTATTCATTGCTATAAATCTGGGCTAGCAGATGGCCATTAATGGCTAAGAGATGTATCCTGGAATACTAAGACAAAGAAATATTTCACTCTACTGATGTATACAACATGAATCTCAGAACTGGGAGAAAAGATATTGTTAGATATATTTGCATTCTGCTCAATATCTCTGCTGTTGACTGAAAATGTTATAAATTTATTTAATTTCATTAGGTGAACATCAGTCAGGTTACAACAGAACAGGAACTTGTGAACAGGTCGTATGAGTTAGAAGGAGCCTTGGCTTCAGGAAGTTTTATCCAGTACTGTAATTCTAAAGTGGAGAGCAGTACACAAGAATTGGAGAGAACACTTTGGAGTTTCTTGAAGGTGATCATTTAGATTTTACGTGTACATGTAGGTTGTTTCAAGTTTGAAAGTTTTTGTTATCTGTTGCATGTACGATATAAATCTTATAACTTGCTGACTGTACTAGTTTTTGAAATGCGATTTGTTTGTCACTCTTTCTTTCATTCTTTGTTGATACAGATTAACTTTGAGAGAGAACCTAGGAGACATTTCTTAACTCTTCTTGGATATGATCCAATGGAACTATCTAAAAAGGTGAGTACATGCTCACAGGCAAAATCTTTATTCGGGCTTTTTTAGTCCTGTGGTTTTGTTGGGAAAAGTCCTCAAAAGGGTAGACTACCTATTTATCTAAGGTATTGTTTGTAGCAAAGAGTTTAGTGAGTCTGATGTGATTTTGCTTGGTCAGGTTGCATCTTCGCACACTTCTTCAGCTTCAAGCAGTAGCCAAGGAGGTGTCAATGCCGAAGAATTGGTTCAAAAAATGAAGCTCTTGACATCAGGGGTAAGAGAATTCACTTGACATCTGATAAGTAGCTCTCATTACAAATTTAGAGTGGCTTTCAATGAGTGTCAAAAGTAATTAGGTAATTAGTTTGGTGTTGGTTTTGGATTTACTACAGTTTGAGTATGGCTGAGTAGTCTAACTGGCTTTATCAATACATTATCTAGCAAACATGTAATGAAAACATTAAAGACCATGATGTAGTGTGTATTGTCTTTATGTAAGCCAAACAGTGTTGTAGTCCTGTTCTCTGTGCTTAATTAAGCCACATTGTCTTACATTGTGTTATAGGATGCAGGTGGGAAGTCAGGGGAAGGTGTCTTTTCGAGTGGAGCAAGTACACCCTCAGTAGCTGAATCTAAGGTATGTTAATTCATGTTTGTATAATCATACTTATTTCATTGTAAAGTAAGCAGGCAGTGTAGCACTGCCATAAACTTGAATGATTTAGGAGACATTGTAATACATGCAAGTTACACAGTGGGATTTTAAAAACAAAGCTAAGTCGGGCTGGACTGGTATGAGTTCCTTTGTTTTGGAAGTCCCACTGTGCAACTTGCGTCCCAGCATAGTTAATTCCGTACCATGTGGCCAGATCATGCAAAGGGCCTATTTAGACTCAGTCTCGTTGGCCTGGTAGCCTTAAGAAAAAGCAGTTTTTCTGGGCTGACAGATTTTTATCCACTCTGATTTATAGGTTAAGACGAAGTCCGATAGAAAATCGAGCAATTTCAGTTATTAGTAGACAAAAATCTGGTACCAGAATAATTTTAAGTATTTTACAGTCCTTTTTACATTTTCTTAAAGCTAAAGAATGATATAAATAGTTGCCTGAAATAACACTGAGAACAATTTCCCATGGGAACGAGAGAAAACAAATTTCAAAGTTCAGAGAAATTGTGCAAATGCAGATAAAATTTCATCCTCCATTTCATTTCACTGGTACTTTCAAGTGTTTCGTACAAAGTTCAAAATTTGTTTTCGACATTTGGTGTAGCTAGAAGTGATTTATTTGAGAAGATATTTAACACAGTCGTACAGAAGTTTGCAATACGATGTGAATAATCTTGGTACTAGGTTTTTGTCCACTTGTTACTCGAACTTCTGGTGGATTCCATCTTAATTAAATTTTTAGGGGAAATTTTCTTCTTTGACATATTTGTTTTACTGGCATTGCCTTTTGTTTCAGACTCCTTTGTCAGATGCTGGTAGCCTCAGTGAGGGCGCTGCAGCCTTTGATGTCATTGCAGCTGGAGGGCCTTTATCTATTGACACAGGGAGTGATCTAGGTCAGTTATGCTGGAGGACTGCATTCCGTGCCAGTTGCATGCTTTTGCTCTTAGCTCTGATTGGTTTGATCTGTCATGTCTATTTGTTGTGATTGTCCTGATGTATGATACAGTAAGTGCTGGCTTTGAAATGTTTGACAAATTTTTGTTGCTGTTTACTTATGTATATATAAATGTTTAGGTCTTGGTGAACCTGTGAAACCACACTTGCCTTTCAACATACCCACAGATGATGGTAAGTCTATATTGCAGTTTTAAAGTATGCCGATAATCTTTTGACTTCTTGATTTAGCTGCTCTACAGTGTAATTTACATTTTTATTTTCCTTGCAGATACTGATGGTCTCATCACACAAGCCCTGCTAACTGGCAATTTTGAAGCAGCAGTAGATGTTTGTCTTCATGCTGATAGAATGGTATGTGATTGTTGTGCATTATTGCTTGCATATGGTACAATTGAGCTTGGATTATTTCCTGGAAAAGGAAAGCAGTCCGTAAATCTGTAACATAGCAACCTTATTTCATGCTTGTGACCTTTAATTGTAGTTGGCAAACAGCTGAAACAAACAAGCAAACAGATAGTTAATGTGGTGTTCTACCCTCTATGTCCACTGGCGTGTACAGTAGAACCTTGCATTCTATGACTCGGTTATCTTGAATTCCCTGCTCTCTTCAATTCAGATTATTTTCTCTTACATCCATTTTTCAGTCGTGTACTATTAACTATCTGAACCCTGCTATCTCAAACTTTATTAATTTTTTTATTTCCCTTGAGAGTTTGATACAGCTGTTCTTGCACTTTATTTCCTAAGAATTTTATGTGAGAATTAACACTACTTTATTTTCTTTCCAAGGCTGATGCTTTCCTTCTTGCTATTGCTGGTGGTCCAGATCTCTTGGCGAGAATACAGACAAGATACTTTGAGAAGAGCAAGAGTAATGTGGCAAGGGTGTGTTTACATCATAATTATTGTGATTATTACTTGTAATGTAAAGTTACACTTGATCTTAATCTCTTGTGCTCACTCTCACTCTCTCGTGTCTCTAGCCCGACAAACTTGGAAATCTCTTATTGTGTGTGCTTTCCATCTCTTTTGAAAGAGATACCTTGTTACTCCATCTAATGATCCCAGGCCACAACTTCATGCACTTTCGATCTGGATAGGTACATGTCAAATCTGCATTTGAGCCTAGTGTTTCATCAGGCTGAGACAAGGTTATCTCTGGTTTCCATACTGTGAAGTGATAAGGTGTATTTGTGCTTTCTCTGGATGGGATACTAGTCCACTGTAGGGTTATCCTCAGCATTAAATTCACTGGTACTCATTTATGCACCTGGGTGGAGTGAGGCACTGTAAGTCAGAGTCATAAAAAGTGCTTGCTCCAGAGCCCAACACACTGTCCTCTTATCCCAGGCTACAATATACATGTATGCACATGTTTTTCCTTGTTCCCTCTTCATGCTGTATTTTTTTTTCCTCAGTCATTTAAAAGACCAAGTCTGGTTTTTACATGTGGCCATTTTGCATTTGTTTGTGTCGTAGTAATTGTAATAACTTTCTAATGCTTTATTAAAGTTTGAAAAAAAATTTTGTTTTATTTTTCAAGCTCATGTCAGTTGTAGTGAATCGTGACTGGCGTGACATTGTTGAAAGCTGTGTCCTGGAGAACTGGAGGGAAGCCCTTGCGGCACTGGTGACATATGCCAAGGCAGAAGAGTTCACTGCCCTGTGTGATCTACTGGGGCAGAGGCTTGAGCAGGAAGGTGATGAACATTGTTCTAATGCCATGGTTTGCTACATCTGTGCTGGAAATGTCGAGAAGTTTGTATCCTGTTGGTGAGTAGCTAGCAGTGTTTATTTCCTTCTTTCACTTTCAGATTCTGCCCATTTTTGCCACCGAAACTGAGGATGTACATAGCATACAGTATTTAGAAAATAGTTTATGTGCTGTCACTGGACTACACAGTGGAAAACCTAGTTACCATTGGTTGCATAACTTAACAAAGCCAAACAGCCTCGGTTTTGACTAGAAAATTTTAGCAGAAGAGAGCGGCATAAATTTAAAGTAAGTAAATTTATAATGTTTTTTTGTTGCTAGGTCTAGGAACATGCCAGCTGAGCCCTCACCTCTGGCCCTGCAAGTAAGGTCAACTTTATGTGTTACTCAAAAAGATAACTACATGTACCTTTCAATTCTTGTGGTTTGCCATTGCTGGTTTAAGTGCTTGTACCTAAACATTTCCGTTTTTTTTTTCTTGTGGTAAATTTAGTTTAACATGTTAACTTTCTTTGTAGGAACTGGTTGAAAAAGTAATGATCCTAAAGAAGGCTGTAGAAAGGGAACGTCGACTGCTGATTGATAGTGGTTCATCTGTTTTGGCTGAAAAACTCAGGTAGGTGACATACTTTCTGTTTGCACCTGCACTGCAGGCTTCCATTTCAAAGGCAAGGTGATATGAGCCGCACCAAATCATTAGACATTTTCTATGAGTTTATTGTGTTAGGTTGACAATGTTTTACCCAGGACTGCTCTCTTATCTTGAACACTACTTTAAAGGGTTTTGTGTGTGGCAAAATGAGATTTGGAAAACAAACAGAATAATATCAAAAGATGTCAACATTTTATCAGAGGGTCTTACTGTAGCAAGATGTTGCCACTGCCGGTGAACATTGTTGTATTGCATTATGCTATTGTGTGATTGATTTTAAAACTGTGGATGTCTTGTTTACAGTAAATATGCAGAGATTTTGGCAGCTCAGGGCTGTTTGGACACTGCTATGGGATACTTGATGGCTGTGAATGACCAGGTAAGACCAACTCTTGTTTTTTTTTATCTTGTACTGCATAGCCAGGTCCAGAGTTACTGCTTAAATTTCCTGGAAATGCATTTCCTTCAATTTCCCATTGAAAAATTCAAACTTGTTTATTATAAACAAACTTTTTCATAATTTTTATAACTTTGCTATTCTTTCACAGATTTACAACTATTGTAAAACTGTGAAAGCATTCTTTTTCATTTTTTTTTTTTCCTTTTAGTGAAAAGTAAACAGTCTTTTTTGTGATCTTTTGCAGGCAAGTCTTGGAGTTCTCAAGGATCGCCTGTACAATGCACAGTTTCCAAGCCATGTTGCATCTGCTACAGCTCCACCACCATTCCCATTCCAAAGGATTGATGTTCAAGCTGAACCTCTTCCTCAGGCTCAAACTCAAACTCAGGTTAGAAAAAAAGGAGGAAGAGAACAAATAGATGAGTAAAGGATTGGTGTCCATGCATATATGTATTGTACAGATAATCCAGTGAGTTAATGATCTTATGGGAAATTCACTGCTAAGATTGCTGCTGTTCAAAAATTAGGAGGGGAAAGTGAAAATCAGTAATTTTGTGATGCAGGTTATTGAAAAACAAACAGCAAAGAACTGCTTAGTGGCTTTCATTTGAATGGTCACACTATGGGGTTTCATCCATAGACTTAAAGTGTAGTAAAAAGTACCATATGATAGTACTGCTCAGTAGCTTTAATTGAATGGTTACACTAGGGGCTTATTAACAGACATGAAAGTTGGAACCACATTAACTGACTCAGGCTTAGACTAACAGGCGGCCAGAAAGTATGCAATAGCTGTTATTGCACTTATCAGCGGTTTGACACACAAACGAGGCAAAAGGGTCAATTCTGCATTGTATTGACCCTTTCACCTCGTTTGCATGCCTTTTAAAACAAAAGAATGTTTGACCACAGACTCGACTACAATAACAGCTGTTATTTCTGAAGAATAAAAGTGATGAAAACTTTTAGAAAAGGGATTGCATTAACAACCTTTAAAGTTCATCGTCATTTTACTTCTAGGCAATAATGAATTCTTGTATGTTAATTATGAGTTGTTTCCTTGCGTCTTAGTTTCAACAACAGCCAGGCTATGGTGTCCCTTCACAACAACAGCAACCACAGCAAACACACTACCAGCCACATCAAAGACCGCAGCCTTCCCCAACAGCACCCAGTCCTGCTTATCAACCCTCTATACCTCCACCTCAAACACAGTTCTACAACCCAGCAGCTTACCAGCCACAGGCACCCCAACCATCACCCCTCTCTCAGCTGTCTTTCAATCAGGCAGCTCCTACCCAGACATCTTACTACAGTGGCCCATCACAGCCATCACCTACTGCTAACCAGCCTTCGTGGTCCCAACCTCCCCCAGTGTCAATGTATCAACCTCAGCCCTCCAACACTGTGCCAACACAGGTATCAGCTCCTGGACAGTATGGTGCTCATATGCAGATGAAAGGGCAGCAGCCTGTAGTGCAGATTTTTAATCCAGGAAGTTTGGTCACTCCTGGGGCACCTTATTCTGGTTCTTCTCCTACTGGGGCTCCTTCAGTTGGGCCTCCACCACCAGGACCTGCAGTGCCCCCTCCATCAGGCCCTCCACCAACTGGTATGACAGACAGCTGATTGTATTTTCCTCTTGTGAATCATTGTGTGTTTAGATAATGGAAATGATCCTGTTTTTGAGTTGAGTAAACTAGCTATATACTGGTTATACAATGCTTTCATGTGGTATACCATGGAATATCCTGCAAGTCACCTGTATTAGTCACTTGTACAAGAGACAAGTGGGATACTCCACGACAGAACATTGCATAACTATTTTATACCATGCCATAGAAAATACAGTGGTCAACACAATCAATGTGACATACACACAGCACATGATGGGAAGGTTTGATGTAATACTAACATGGAATATACAACAGCTTTCCTGTGTTCTGATTGGCTCTATTTTCTATGGCATGGTATAAAGTGCAGTATTACATGGAGCTTACAATTTGCTTGTGACCTTTTATTTTGCAGAACCACCACCACTCACAGGTGCCTGGAAGGACACTCACATGATGAGAGGCAAGAAACAGCAGGTTAGACATCTTAGTGATGGTTCATTATTATTAACATACCACTGACCAGATTTCTTTATCTTGGTTCCTGCTCTTCTTAAAGGCTGGAAAAATGAATAAATTGTTAGAGGCTGGAAAATGATAACAGAAACAAGAGCAACATTTATTTATACCAGAGAGAGAAAAAGAAAAGAAGAGAGGGAAAAATGCAATTGTTTTGAACGTGAACAATATTGTATTAGCTGCTTACTATAACCATGAGGCTGAAAATGTCAATTACATCTCATACCATTGTGCTTGTGCACAACTTTCCTTGAGTATTTGCCATAAGATGTGTTTTTCTTGACCAAATGCTCTGATGTCCTTCTCACACAAGTAGTACCCGAGTAAACAACTTACAGCTGACCATAAGAGATTGTTTTAAAGACTAATTTGACTTGATTATCTCTCAATGTGATATTCCTTGTTAATGAGACATAATAAATTTATAAGACGTTGATTTGTTTGCAGACTCCAGCTTTCACCCCTCCAGCTCCTATCACTGCTCCACTGTTTGGAGCAGGAGACCAGCAGCAGCCACAGCCACAGCAACACCAACAACAGCAACCTTCTCCAGTTGGTAGGTACTTGTGTGTTATGTACTGTCTCTAATAAGCACCCGTATTATATGGCTAGCTCCGTGAGTTGGCAAGATGAATCAAATCCTGCGCTGTGATTGGCTACCCGAGCGGGCAAGATGGAGCTCTCTTGCCCGCTTGGGACTATCCGCCGCGTCTCGCAAGAAAAATATCCCCAAAAGCCATTTGATAAATCCTTTATTAACCAAGCTTGGTCGATCTAGATGGATGGATATTGGCCTCGTTCTTTTTTTTTTGCGAGTTTATGGACTGAGACGGAGTCGAGGTCCATAAACTCGCAGAAAAAAGAACGAGGCCAATATCCAGCCATCTTGACCTCATACTTGGTCAATAACCGATATATATCAAATAGGCGCCCTGTCTTGAGTTACAGTAACAAACGATAATTACTGCATGGGCGCTAAGTTGAATTATACTTGTGCGTGCCTTGTGTCACATATATGGTATTCGGTTGTCTCTTCCAGGAATGCCGCAAGGTGTACCCCCTGCACCAGGTGTGCCTCCTATGATGCCTCCGGGGGGTGGTCCACCAGGCGCACCTCCAAGTTATGGGGATGCTACTCCTCAGCAACGTGCTCAGGTACATGATGACTCCCCCCCGCCATCACCGCATGCCACCTTGCCACATCCATATCATGTAATAACTGCACAGGTAAACTGCACGCTTTAACACCTTAAACACGCCCTAAAACATTGAAATTTTAACTGATAAAAACTTCCACAAGCTGAAATGCACTTTAGAGATTTAATTCTTCCCATCGTTATGTTGCTAATGATGTAAACATAAAAATGTTATGCTTGTTTATTGACTGACCGCACCTAACAACCTAAATTCGCTACCGTTTAAGTTTCCTTTGCCATTTAGCTTTTTGTAAACGTTTTAATTGTCCCTTTGCAGTGCAACCATTTCTTAGCGGCCAGATCATTGTCATAAAAGAATAAAATAACAACTGTTAAGCCTAAATATGTTGTCGGTTATTGTTTCAACTGTATCGTGTAGAGCATAATGTTCAAAAAGAAAATCGTAACTGAAGCATACCGTAACAGGACAGCGAGTCTTCTAAACTGACTGATAAAACGTTTTAGGCTGGTGGTTGTGTCCTTATAAGAAAACTTTTGCTTCTCATTTTGAACTACATGTACTCTCAACTTTTCAATCAAATTTCGTCAGTGACTTCTTTTTTTAACAATGTTATAACAAACTGTAAATGACTATTCTTCTCGTACGATCATCTTGAACAGCTTAATGTAACTATAGTTGTTTAAAACTGTAATGAACAGTTAAAACAAAGCCGTATTTGTTTTTTCATCCACATGTCAATTTCATCACGCAATCTCATCCCATCCACACTCTTACATCATGTAAAAATTTCAATCCGCCTAATATTTAATTATGGTGTGATTCCAAAACAAGTTGAGTAGTTTTCCAGTAACTTTGCCAGCAAATAGAAGGCGTTGTAACTAGAACAAAAGAAGATTCACAGCACGTTCTCAGTTTACATGTCGTGGATTTATTGTTACTGCAAGTTTTTGTGTGCCTCAGTCAGGTTTTGGGCTGCAGTAAGCGTATCGCACATGTTCGCTTTGCGTGACAGCATCGTGTGACAACATGGCGTGATTTTCAATGTTTTCAGCGCGAACCTCATATCAGCGTGATGTAAAATATATGATTGGTCCATTTTGTTTAGGAGCCACCTCCTCCAGTCATGAAAGGCCCCATCCCATCTGAGCACCTGGTACTTCAAGAAACTTTCAATGGGTTGGCTGAGAGGTGTAAAAACACTGCCAATAATCCGGTGAGTAGTAACCGCGTTACTTCAATCATTCTGCGGTGCGCGTTTTTGTCTACACTAGGTACTGGAACTATGAAGTCGACGCTGTAACATGTGCAAGGAACAGGTTTTTATTTTGGATATCGAAAAAAGGGGTTGTCATGGAAAGTAGAAGCACAGAGAAACAGAAGTGACTGAGAAACAAATCGACACATCTTTCATTTATATGCGTGCTATTGCTCAGGGCGCACTAGCTTCCTGTACATGTTGCAACTTAAAATCATATTTTACGTGTATGTGAGGCGAGTCCGCCCTAACTTAAAATTAAACTGGAAGTCATTATTTCAATGATTTTCTTGGATCCGCTCCTGGCGTCAAGTGTTTGCCAGTTACACCAAGATATTTTGCCTTTGGGTGAACATGTAATCAAAGGTGTAGTCAGTAGTGCTGGTGTCCTCTAATAACCCTTCTTTGCTTACCCATTCAATTTTTTTGTTGTCTTCAGCATACAAAGCGTAAATTGGACGATGTCTCGAAGCGACTGGAAGCACTTTATGACAAACTCAGAGATCAAAAGGTAAGGGAAAATATGCGCAACCTTTAGTGCCAGACTTCTGAAAGCCTCGTGGATAAATGTATGTCATACTTTTGCTTATGATGTTGTTTTTCACTTTGGTAGTATTGTTTGCCAGGCCCTTACAGTCATGCAATATGTTACGTTTGTGGTATTTCGTGATATTTTGACAAAATACTACGAAAGTTTTTCATTGCTGTTCATTCTCTTTGTGTATCGTCAATCTGACGTTGCAGTCAACGTTATTACAAGGTTTCTTCTTTTGTCGTTGCAGATGTCAAATCCCATTTTAGAGGGCCTTCATGAAATAGCGCAGGGTGAGTTTATTTATTGTGATCATTGAAGCTGATAAGAATAGCGCTACATTTGTTGTTCTACAAAAGTCCAAACAGCAGAAGTTGTCACTTTGTTTTGCTCGTAATGCAAGCTGGCTGTTAGCGTTTTTAGTAAGTAAAGTTAGTAAGTAAAGTAAAAGCTTTATTAATGTGTCAATGTATTTAGTTTTCACAACTAGTTAGGGAAACAAGAAAAGTTCGTTGTTTCAATCAGTTTTTCTTGTTTATTTTCTCAGCATGTCAAGGATCAGATTATCCTCGTGGCCTGATGGCTCACACTAGGCTTATATCCAGCGGTAGTTTCTCGGAGATTAGCACGTTTATGCCAGGACTCAAGTCTCTGATGCAAATTGCCACTCAGTTGCGGATTTGATGATGGTAACTGTTTAGCTGCCGAGAAGAAACTGTTTTGACACCAAGGACATTTTATGGAAGAGTTGGCGCACTTGCCTGATCTTGGCATGTTTGAGACTGAAGTTGCCTTCAACTGGACGTTGTGTCGTCTGTGTTGAAGTAGTTTTAAAATTATTTTTTCAATTCCCACAGCCCTGTTTTCGGGGTTTTTGATTCGAGGATGTGAACAGGAAGGAAGAAGCTTGCAATGGCAGACAATTATTTGGTTTGTCGTGACCAATAATCAATCAAACGAGAGAACTGAGAAATGTTTTAACCTTGACCTCTGGTCTGTGAAACGGGCCATGAGAAAGAACCAACACTTGAAATTATAAGAATATTTTCACTTTTTTCTGGCACGGTCAATCGTGTTATGCATCGAGGGAGTTTGTAATCTGATTTGACAAAGAAAAAGATATAGTTGTAATACTGTTTCGTTGATAACATCGGCCATGAGTGAGGCCGTGTAAGATTTGACGAAGAAAACCGAAAAAAAAAAAGACACATGATCAGAGACAATCTTATCTTACACTTGTTGCGAAAATTGTTCGGAGGAAGAGCACGGATTGTTTTTCGAAACAGCAACAACAACAACCTTTATTGTACTCGTTCTTGTAAATTAAAGCACTTCTTGAGAGCGGCTGGTCATAGAGCCAAGAAGTATTTCCTATTCTCTTTTTCCAGGCAGACGTTGTTCGAAAAACTGCGCGCTCAATCAGTTACAGAGACTGGAAATAAACGATGCTCGTTCTCCGATCCTCTCATTCACTAAACTGCGATCATGTTTTTTTTTCCCGGGGGAAAGGGGAAGACTCGTGAAGTAAAAGCAGCAGGCATTCTTGTTTTGTCCGTCACCCCCTAAAAAAAGAAAAAAGAAAAAAAAGAAAGAACGCCTGATCGCTGGTTACACTGTACTCATTCACTTATTACCATTTTTGTTGCCATGCTGAATTTTTTTCCTGTGTGTGTATTCATTCTGGAAAAGAATACACTTATTTACCTTTAGGAGGAGGCTGTGGTACGTTGTTGGTCTGCGTCACTCGAGAATCTGTACGTGAATAAGCTTTTGGCGGTCAATCGGCAGAAGACTGATGTATATTAGCAGGAAGATGCAGTGAGAAAAGTTGTGTTTGATTCGTTCTTTGAAAGTCTTCCCTTCACAAAAAATTAATTGATGTATTTAACAATTACCGTAGTTGGTGAGCTCGAGATTTGTACCGCGCAGCAGTTGACGAGGCCTCGTCAACTATTATAATCGAGTCGTTCGAAACTTTATCTAAATCCTCTTCGCAAATATTTCGAAAGAGCAAAGAAGCGATTTTTAATAATCGCACACTGCTATGTTACTCACTATCTACTGACGGCGATAGATTGTGAGTAGCGTACCTACGGAACGGCATTTGTGATAGAAAGCTGCAGTAGTAGATTTATGTAAAACCTGATATTAAATGGCTCGTTAGCACGCCACGATCGCCCGCTGAAATATTCGATACAGTCTTCCCTCTTTTATTTAATAAGAATGTATATTTTTTTTATGCCGATGCTGGATATTCTTATTATATATTTATCTCTGGCCGGGGTTATCTCGAGAACTTGTTACTCGATCTTGAGGGACTGCCCTGAAAATGAGTGACATCTGTTGCAAGCGGTAAACGGGCGACTGAAATACATTGCAAAATAATGGTAGCGCAGTAATGGACTGTTTGGTTTGTTGCTCAAATGTCAAATATTCTGACCCTGCGGTAGCTTGTGATCCTACCGCCGCAAAAAATTAGAACTAAATGCGTCTGCTACTAATCCAGCTGGATTATATTTTAGGCCCTTTCAATTTCAGAAAGAGAAAGTGGTGATGAATTTCCTAGTCATGTGCTTTGCATTCTCGTCCCCAGAGGCAGCGCTCCTTTTGTTCAGGACCAAGAATCGCGACCTGTGGGAAGGACCTAAACCGGAAGTCCGCGATTCACGGACTTCCCGTCACTTTGCGTATGCCTAGAGTAAAGTCTAATAAATCTTTGACAAATCTGATTGGCTGAGAATACGAAACAATTATTTTGCGCATGTTCAGAAAATTGGACCTTCCTGTAGAGGTCGCGATTCTTGGTGCTGACCAAAAGGAGCGCGGCCTCTGGGGACGAGAATGTGTGCTTTGGTAAGGGAGCAAAGGATGAAAATGTACGCACGCGTGGGTTTAGCATGACAACAGAGCGTTACGTTGCTGAATGTCACGCTTCTGTCTCGATTCGAGAGGCCTCAAGAGTTTCTCGCACTTTGTTCTCGACTCAACATACCCTTGCGCTGAACGTGTAAAACTACGTGTAAGCTTCTCAGGGTGGAAGTTGGGGACAAAAAAAGGCTAAGTATAACTCGAGTGTGACTTGTGATGTTCATCACATGTCATCATATGCGCGGGCAGGTCGGCTTGCTTCATACTCAGCGTCTATTCCAATGTACTCTGAAAGTCTGAACATTTCTGCCACTGCTACGTTCTGATCCCTCGATTGTCTTCCTCAAGCCGGAATTTGGTTGCAGTCTGTTCACCGTAGTTGGGTAAGAGAACAGAGAAATATAAAGATCTTTAGACGCACATTGAGTCTTGGTGACGCACGTGTGGAAAGTGTATATTGAATACACTGGCAGTAATCGTAGATTAAAGAGTGCGTTCGAGTTTTGGTAGGTTTGGTATGTTAAAAAAGCAAAAATTCTAGGAACGGCATTTTGTGCCTGAGCTGTCAAGGTAGACGTGAAACTGGTCTCCCTCCAGCAGGACTAGAGAGCGAAAACAAATGAATTGATCGCAACGCACGTGCATACGAGAGGGATTGTTCTCGTTTTTATATTTATTACGTAATGTTAGTTAGGATCGGTTAAAAATAGTTGTGCACAAAACTTTATTCAGTTATTACCGCAAGAGATCCAGGTCGTCTTCTCTTGAAACGCGACAGCTGGGCAGGGAGAAGGGTTCTTTTCTCAAAGTTTATGGCCTTTATTACTGTATAAAGCTCTTCGCGCAATCATCACTGTTTTCCCCTTTATATAAGAATATGTTTAGAGGGGAAATCAGCGAAACTAAAACTCGCTGGAATTGCTTTAAACTGGCCCTAAAACGCCTCGGAAGCATACTTAGCAGAGAGAAGAGTCGAATTAAGTCGTTCAAATTGCATTTCTACTCTGTATTTCGAATTGTTACGAACGATCGTTATATTCCCATACAAACGGTCTAATATCTACCCTGTGTCGGTACATGATGTAAAGTTTTCAAATGTTGGCTTATGTTCACAGCTCCCAAGGAGCTTGAGATACCTGTGGCTATTTTTGGGAGGAGTGTTTTTTTTTTTTGGGAGGGGGGGGGGGGGGGGGGGGGGGG